TTAGATGTAGTCATAAGAATATATCAGGAGTTCTTCTATTTATTTATTTTTTAAATTGAGATATAACTGACATGTAACATTGCATTTGTTTTGGATGAATAAAGCATTGCCTTTATAAAGACAGGAAATACATAGGAAATTCAACAAACCTTTTCGGTAATGGTCTACAGCAGACGCTGTAGTTTGTGACCCTGTAAATAATTGGGGATTTTAATTTTGCTCACTCTGCATTTAGAAAGTTTGTTTATTATTATTTATTAATTATACTATGATAAACAAAGTTGAGGATCTTGCCCCCCTTCCATTTTTTCCACGTTAATTGGAGGACCATTATCTTCTAAAGGCTCATGCTGTAAGACCGTTTCTTCATTTCACCTGTGAAAATACTAAATTGTTTTTTTCTGGTTTATAATGAATAGTTCGTGGAATAAACATGGTATGATACCTTACTACCCTGTTACTTTGTGACAACATGTATAGGGTTCTTTTATCAGATTGAAAGAAAAGATTTTGCTTCTAATAAAAAAAATTTCTTGTGAAAGTGGAATTGCTGAATATACTTCAAAACCATAATTGTCAACGGATTGCATATGTTCAGGCTTTGTTCTCTATGTTTCGGTCACGTGTGGATGTGCCTCATCTTTTCGGCAGTGAGCCCATCATTTGGCAGGACAGGTGTGTTGGCAACAGTGTTCCTCCTAGAAGTGAATGTCTCAAAGCCTCATCCTGTTATCCTTGTAGAGGCTGGTGACTCCATGCCTCGAGTTTAAGTCCATAGGAAAGATTCCCCCAATAATGACTGTGTACTTGAACTTGATAATACTGATAAAGATGATCTCTCTTTTGTGTCATCAGCTGCATTGAAAAAAATCTTCATCAGTCTTAAAATTGATTGGACTCTGCATCATCCCATTGCCTGGGATGTCGCATGACAATCAGATGCTGCTGAATGAAGGCACAAATGTCAGAGCTGAAAGAGACCTCAAAGATGATGAAGTTCAGCTCTCTCATGTCACTAAGCCTTCTGCAGCAGTGGGCAATGTCTGTGAAGTGCTGCACAGAGCTTGGCCCCAGGAAGCTCTCAGCCAGCGTTCACTGCTATTGTTGTTGCTCAAGGTCACACAGTTAGCTCTTGGCAGAACCAGGAGCAGAATCTTTGGCTCCAGTGCTGTATCACTTGGGCCCATTGTTCATGAGGATTATCACCATTTAATATAATCAAATGTATTTGTCGGTTTACTTCTTGTCTGCGTCCCACCACGGAATATAAGCTCCATGAGGCAGAGACTTTTTCACCTGGTTCACCTGGTGTCCAACGCATGGCATGTAGGAGGAGTTCAGTAAGCAGCTGTCAAATAAAAGAATAAATAAATGTAGAGGCCCACAGGTAAATAAATATGTTGAATATTCAGAAGGGAAAGAAAAGATACTAACATTTATAGAACACCTACTTTTTGAGGATGGTTACAAACATGTGCTCTGTCAGCTGCTGCTCACAGCAGCCTAGTGGTGACGAAAGCACTGCTGTTCCCATATCATGGTGGAGAAAGCGGAGCTCAGAAGTTTTGGTAACTCAGATCTGACTTCAAAGCGCAAGTTATTTTCACCACCACAATGTGTCCCACTTAGAACTGTTCTAAGACTTTTCATGAAAAGTATCTTCATTCTAAATGTTGGCTGATCCCATGGTATTTTTTTTCACAATTAAAAAAAAAACTTTCCTTGAAATCAAATCTCTGAAGAAACACATTCTATAGCAAAGCGTACCAGCTATGAGAGCCCGTGCGCACTGCTGAAAGGCAGCTTGGAGTGGCAGACGCAGCCCTGGATTTGCATTTTGAGGACTCTAGCCAGGGCCACGAGAGTTGTGAGCCTTAGTTCCTCATCCATAAAATAGTGATATCAACAGCCGACCATCTCCCTAACAGAGTTGGTAAGAGTTAGCGTATGTAGAGCACCTAGCACTGTGATTAAGTAAACAAAGTGGCCATTAAGTGTTGACCACGATGGGGAGAGTACAGCTCAGTAGTAGAGTGCGCGCTTAGCATGCATGAGGTCCTGGGTTCAATCCCTATGTACCTCCGTTAAAGTAAACAAATAAACCTGATTACCCACCCCCCCAAAAAGGTCTGGAATTAAAAAAAGAAAAAAAAAAGTGTTAACCACTATTGTTACTATTTCTAGTACTGCTATCATTATTAATAGTCATCATAATACATGCTTTCCTCAGATTGTTTCCACCTGAGCCTTTCCTCGGCTTTAGCTAGGACCCAGATTTTCCATTCCATGTCCACAGACTGCCCAAACCAAACCTCACTGAAGCATGTATTTGGTCAGCAAAGGGAGCCTGGCTTGAGAAGGAGGGTGGATTAGGTCAACCCATCACCACTTTTGGAAAAATAACTTAATAATCATAATAGTAACTTTTAATAATTTTATGATAGCGTTTACATTTTCTGAGTGTGTCCTGGTGCGTCATTAGCTCATGACTTTCTCATGCACGTGAGAGAAGTAATGGACTCTATGGAGGACCCACTTTCCCTGAGCTTTGGCACTTCCTGCAGTAACCGCGGGGGAGTTAACTTACCATAATGTGCCTCCATTCTTCAGCTGTGAAATGGAGCAGTAACAGTTCACAGCTTATGGGGTTCTCATGAAGATTAATGATCTAACATATGTAAAGGGTCTAGTACAGTAATTGACGCATAGCAAGTGCTCAGTATCAGAAGCTATTATGAAGCCCATGTTTTCTTTCTCATTTTACTTTTTAAGTATTCTTGAAGGAGCTATCGTTTATTGAACATCTACTAAATGCCAGGCACTTTCACATACCTTATTCCAATTAATTCTCACCTAAGACTCAAAACAAGACCCTTGCTCGGGGCCACACTGCTAACAAGCGGTAGAGCTGAGATGGAAGCCCAGCCATCTGCTGTCACTAGGGGACTACCCTGCCCCTCACAGACCAGTCAGCCAACAAGCCTAAGGCTGGGCTGTTGTCTTTAGGGAAATGCTGTACTTTACAAGCTTTAAGGACTATATACCTGCCTCTTTTCTTTTTTAAAGAAGTGATATTACTGGCAGCATTTTGTCTGGTGTTTGGAATTGTTTAAAATAATACCCAAAATACCTCAGTAAGTTTGAGTCAACAGTATTACATTCAATTTTACAGAAGAACATAACTGAGTGAAACTTGTGACACTGAAGCAGTGACCCATGGCGTGTGTTTGCATCTGTGCCTTTTTCCAATTCACTTAGGAATCTGGAGTCTGGGGGCCCATACTCACCTGCAATTTGTGTTTCCATTATGTTTCACAGCTGAAAGGTTACTCGAGACCAGTAATTCTCAAACTTTAGTGTGCATCAGAATCACCCTGGGAAGGGCTTGGTGAAAACACGGATTGCTGACCTCTTCCCAGAGTCTGTGTCAGTAAACTGAGGAGGGGCCCAAGAATTTGCATCTTTCTCCCATGTGATACTGATATGCTGGTCTGGGTACCACATTTTGAGAACCACCGCTCTCAACCAGGAGTCAACAGACTTCTTTTGTAAGGGGCAGAGAATAAATATTTTAGGCTTTGCAGACCATATGTTCTCTGTCATAACGACTCAACTCTGCCACTGCTGCTCAAAAGCAGCCGTGGATAACTGTAAGCAAATGAATGTAGCTGTGTTCCAATAAACCTTGATTTATTGGCACTGAAGTTTAAATTTTGTCTAGTTTCATGTGTTACAAAGTATTTTTTTATGATTTTTTTAACCACTTATAAATGTAAAAATCATTTTTAGGTTGTGGGCTGTGTAAAAACCGGCAGCAGGCCAGATTCGCCCTTTGGGTTTATTGTTTGCCAACCCTTGGCAGGCAATTATGACATGTTGAGGACTTTTTTAAACTATTGTTTTAATTATAAAATGAATGCAGGTGAATGTTTTTAAAAGTCTACCAGTATAGAAGAAAATGAAATGAATCAGGAAGTCTCCTCCCTCACCCCAGCCCCAATCCCATGCCCCAGAAATAACCACTATTGGTGAACATCAATTTTCAGAAATGTTATAGGCATATACAGGCTTATGTAAATGGATAAGCACTTTTTACATTAATAGGCTTTTATACGTATTGCTCAGCTTTTGCTATTTTCCTAGCAATATATTGTGACCTCTTTCCATATCAATACATAGAGATGATTTATTCTCTTGAATACCTCTATAGTTGTCTGTTGTATAGACTTACCATAACACATTTAGCCAGTCCCTCCAGATGGACATTGGGATGATCATTTTCTCTACCACAAACAGTGCTGCAGCTCATCTTCGCACACCTATCACTGCGTAAGGTGGAATCCTGGGAGATGAATTGCTGAGACGAAGGGTGTGTGCGTTTAAAATTTTGATAGATATCTCTAAATTCCTGTTGTGGGTACTTTAGGGCCCTATATTCATTTTCTTTCAGGGTTACATCCTACATTTTTGCTATTTAGTCTTTATCTGACTTGAGCATTCATGACAATGAATTTCAGTATAATGCCTTACTGCACATGAACTTAACACAGAGTAGTAATCCTGTCGAGGGCAAAAAGTGCAGCTGGCAATTTGTCCAGGACTCGTGAAAGGAAAACGGCTTTAAAGAACATAAAGCCACCCAAGCAGTGCCCTGAACCTAGGGTCATCCTGGACATTGCTGCGTTTAAGGTACCACAGCAGAAACTGTTCTTTTTATAGACCTGGTGCTTAGCAGCTATTTCTATATGTTTGTTTCCCACTAGAACAGACTTTTCCATTGTCGAACTTTTATGTAAACATAGTATTAGCTAATAAATATGCTGTGCCACTGTTGTACTAGAACTCGGAATACCACTGCTTTCCTTTCTAGTTGGGGCTTTTCCTTTTTGAGCCAATAAAGGATTATAATAATGATTTAATAGACAACAATGCAGCATCTTAAAATGTAGCACTGAGAAGGGTTTTTTTTTACTGAAGATAATGTCTGCTTCTTCTCCTAGGTTGTCGTAGGACTTTGTCTTCACCACTCAATCATATCTACTTACACAAGCAGTCAAGCAGTCAACAAAGAAGAAATTTCTTTTTCTGGAGACAAAGAGAGATTTCACACAGTATAGTTTTGCCGGCTGCAGTTTCTCCAGCTCATCCGGTCCCTAAGGTACTGTATTGCCTATTATCTGCTGCTTTTTCCAGCCAAGATAAAAGGTTAACTGCAGAAGCGATTGAGTATTTTTGCACCTTTGATTTCTGAGCCATCTGGATCCTAATTTTTAAACTTGGTCTGTGATTTAAAATTGATTTGAGAAGTTAAACATCCTGCAGTTCTATAATGTTCATTTTTTAAAATAAAGCTTTGAGCTTATAACTGCTTAACTCATTTAGAATTTAAAGTTCTATCATGAAATTTTCCATATTAAATTTCTAACATGAAGATAAAATTATATGTATGTAGTTTCCTAACATTTGTAAGGAAAAAAAATTGACTATACAGTTGGAATCATTCAAGAACGATTCCTTGAAACTAATACACTTGATGCTTTTCCGAAAGCTTTGCTCCTATACTTTCCGTGTTATTGATGCTGCGCTCTTTGAATCCTCCTTTATAGTAAGTTAAATAAAATGTCTTGTCTCAGAGCACTCTTTTTGATTTTCTTTCAGAGATTTTAATTCTGTAAAAGACAACCTATCCATTTTCCCAAATGCAATGTAAAAGAAGTGTGGAGTTCATTTCAGAAGAATGAGAATAGCTGAAAGAAATAGAGATTTGTCACAAAAATCACCTGCTTTCCCTCTTTTTATATATATATATTTTAACAGTAAACCCATACAAAGCATATTCTGTTCCCTGAAGGTGAGTGGCCCATTTTTGTGACAAGGGCTGACGAGACAGGCCACCAGAGCCCAGAGTATGTTCCTGGTGTATACTCAGTAGAAGAGAAAAAAAATCTCCAGAGACGTGACTGGATTGTTTTAGAATTTCAGTGATAAGCCAACAGCCCTTCGGCCTGTTGTAACCTGGCCAGTTCACCAAGCAGAGAAGACGCAGGGCTGTGGGGGACCGAGTGTGTTTTGCGGGGGCCGGTGGGGAAGGTAAAGGAAGGTAGATGCCACCCACAGCTCAGCCGCTGCAGCCGAGGCAGTGGTGATACCTGTGTCAGAAAGGCCCACCTGAACACGAGAGTAAGAGAAGGCCCTTAAATCCCGCATGATGCGCTTCATCAAGAGCAGAGCCCTAACCTCAGCCCTTCCAGGGTTGCTGTGATGGTCAGTTGAATAGTGTTATCTCCCTCAGCTTCCTGTCCCCAACTGCTATGTAGCCTTACTGGGTACCATTCAACAAAGCTTCCGTAAATATTTTGTAAAGAGCTGTGCAAAACCTTGAGACCGAAAGAAGCTCTGTGTGTAAGACAGTATTTATTTTCTGAATACTGCCCATGGATTTAAGCTAGTGATGGAAAATGCTCTCCAAGGGTGATCAGAGTTGAACATTTAGTGTTTGAGGAGGGGGAGCTTGTTTTTGACAAATGATGGATGTATTCAAAGTATTTTTAATGTACTTGAAAAAAAAAAGAAAGAGAAAGGAAAGAGCTGTTTTGTTTTGTCCTCAAGTTCGTCCTTAGTTTGGGTACAGTTGCAAAGTGTCAGAGAAGTGTATATGTAATAGGCATCTGTGGACTTGATAGTCAGCCTTTTACAGATACTCATTCGGAGAGGGTGTTGTGAGCTATCCTTTGCATAAATTGTATCCTTGTGTGAAGGAGATGAAAGTGCTCTTAATTAACCATTTGGCAATTGGGAAGCTCGGTGCTATTTGTCATCAATGGCAATAGACTTCTAACAGGGTTGGTGGAGGGGAAAGAAAAGAAAACTACTGTTTGTTTTGACCAGAAGTCTCCTTCAGTCCAGTTTGACTGAAAGCACAGTAAGGTTAATAGACCATCCAGAGGCAGCAGCACTAACAGGCAATGTTAAGTTCAAAAGGGCAGGGGAAGGGACTGGGGGCAGCCTGGAGGGTCTGTTGTGCTGGCTTCGGAGGTCGGTGCTCCGGCAGGAAGGGCAGAGCCCCATGAAGCAGGAGGCTGTGTCCGAAAAAATGACCCCATTGTCGTGCGCTGGGTTCTGATCTTCGTTTTCAATCCTTTTTCCTGAAGCACATAAAGAAGCCAGACTATGTGACGACAGGCATTGTACCCGACTGGGGAGACAGCATAGAAGTTAAGAATGAAGATCAGATTCAAGGGCTTCGTCAGGCTTGTCGGCTGGCCCGTCATGTCCTCCTCGTGGCCGGGAAGACTTTAAAGGTGATGTCTCACCAGCTCTCAGAAGACTTACATAAGGGACCACAGGCCCTCCTAATTTTTCTCTTTCCCTTTAACTCTTCTTTTGTACACGTCTAATTTGTTCAATATTAAGTAAAGTCTTGGGATGGGGAAAGGGGTTATATTATTTCCTGTTTATTCAAGAAGGAATCTAAAATCCACGTTCAATTTTAAGTAGCAGAATTCAGGATTTACCTGGGGCTCAGCCTATCCAGGTTGATCCATGGCAGACAGCTTCGACTTTTGCCCCTTATTCCTGCCTGCAGTTTCTGCTTTTATTCCCCACATGATTTCCGTGCACCTGAAGAGTTGCTCTGCCTCATCCTTTGTCCCCTGTTTTCTTGCATTAGCTCTGCAAAGAAAGATCAGGCCAGATACTAAGCTATAGGTACTTCAGCACTGTAATTGTGTACACCATCTTACTACAAGATTTAGGTGTTTCAGTGTAACCTGAAACTGAATCTGAACCCTGCTATGGAAGAATCATAAAAGAAAATATGGGCCCGTACTTACCAAAAGGTGGGCAGAATTTCAGAAATGAGACTCAAAGATGAAATCACTTGGTGTATCATCTGTGTAATAGACTCATTACAGCAATGCAACTAATGGTGATATGAATATAAAATAACAGAAAGAAACCTATTGAAGAAACACTTAATTTTTAATAAAAAGATTTTGTTTTAGAATTTTACTCATGATTTATGAGCTTATGGAGATAGTCTTCTACAGATAAAATTTGATTTTAGTTTTCTTTTAGTTTGAGAGCAATCAAGGACCTTCTAGTAAGGGAAAAATATTTTTAAAAAATACATTGATTGTTTTAGGCACAAGAGAAATCAAGACTAGGGAAACCGAGTCTCTACAAAATGTATCAGACTTAGTTTTTAAAATGATGATCCGTAATCTCCATGTAAAATCCATGCAATGCTTCGCTGAAATATAAAGACATGGGTTGACCTACTTTCAAGCTTTGGCATCTAAACTGAAGATCCTTTTGAGAACGTATATGCTTCAGCTAGCCCAGGGCCATAACCATTGGCAAAGGGGAAGGGTTGCCTAAGAACGTATTTTTAAACCTTCAGGCCAAAAAGGAGTCCTGTCATTTAATGACTCACAAATGATTTAAAGGATCTTATAGTTGAAATTTTCCACTTCCTGAGAGCCCATAACACCATTATATGCCCCAATGATTGTCAAAGAGGCCAATTTAGGATTTTAATGTTAATCATAATTAATTAAATTGTCGTACTACAAGTTAATCACAGTAAATTTATACACTCTCACCTGGACGTGCCATAGCTATAGGCATAGTCAATAAATACAGGAAATGTGTTCAACTGTCACTCCACAATTTCTTTATTTAATATTTTAGGTTGACATGACAACTGAAGAGATAGATGCTCTTGTTCATCAGGAAATCATCAGTCATGATGCCTATCCCTCACCTCTAGGCTATGGAGGTTTTCCAAAATCTGTTTGTACCTCTGTAAACAACGTGCTCTGTCACGGTATTCCTGACAGGTATTCATTGCTTAATAACATACTGCTCCTTTGGAAACTAAAACATGAATCTGAGATCTATAATGTAAGTTGAAAGACACTATAGTTTAATTGAAACCCACCTGCAAACTTTTGAAGCTGATTATGGTAAAGCAAAACTTTTGAAGTATTTTGCTTCTAAATGGACATAATACCAACATTTAATGTTTGTTAAAGTAATATGTAATCCAGAAAAGTGATTGTACGTTAAACATTTCTTTTACTCTCCTAGATTTTAACCATTTAAATGGTAAAAATCCAAATGCAGGCAAATATTGGTTATCAACTATTGTTTTGGCTCTTTGCAAAATTAAGGTAACTAATAACATTTTGTCAAGAATAGCAGATTTGTAAACAATGGCAATATATATTCATGTTATGTATTTCTTATAAAAATTGAAATGACTAACGTACATAAAGATTAAGTATAGTTATTCCATTCTTTCCTTCTGCACTCCAAATTATCATCGCAGCTTATTGGTTCAGTGGTAGTAGTCATTAGGTATTTCTTCTTATATTCTTTTTATTGAGATCTGTCTGTCACCATTGTTTTTTCTGTTTATGTTTCCAGTCGGCCTCTTCAGGATGGAGATATTATCAACATTGATGTCACGGTGAGTAAATCATATAAAAAATAGTCTTTGATCAACTTCAGAATTGCTGGTAGCAACAGGAAGAAGAGTGGATTGAAAATGCGAACCTCACCGAGGGAAGTGCTGTTTACTTCTAGACCCAGACGCAAGCAGCTAGCTGGTTTCCTTTTTTTGTCTTTAACTCTGTGTTTGTTCCAAGTAAACCCATGCCTGACTTGAATTTAGGGCTGGAATCAGATGCACTGAGATCAATGTTGGCCTAAGTGAAATGTCAACCCAATCCTGCTATGTGTCATGTTTTTGAGAAGGTGTAATTGTTATTGATCCACTGTGTAGTTAATGCAGAGCGCCACGGCACTGGGCAGCTGCTGAAGCTGGATATGTATGAGATGAGCTAACGCGAAGAAAGCCAGCATTTTTCCTTCACTCTGCCAAGATTGATCTTCCTCTTCCTGCTGATTTTGAGTGGGGCCTGTCATTATCTTACTCTGTCATTAGGGGCTACATTGGCCTGTGTGTGTCAGTCTATTTGGACAGCAACTCTTTTGCTAGCAGTGTTCCCTAGATTTATTAAAATCCCTGAAGGTAACGTTGTGTTCCATTTCTGGTGGAGAGAGCCTTGAACTCGAAGCGTCCCAGCAGAGTGCTTTTCTTTCTGAACATAAGTTTTCACCAAATGGTTAACAGCCTTTCTTTTAAATAACAAACCCAAGTAATTTAACACAGGAACTTCAAACTATACGAGCTCTAACCTTTTCTAATTTTCTTAGCCTTTCCCTATTCTGAGACTCAGGTTATTTGCACTTTGGCCGTTCGTTTTACTAAAAGATTTTTTTTCCATTTTTTTTATTGAAGTATAGTCAGTTTACAATGTTGTGGCAATTTCTGGTGTACAGCATAATGTTTCAGTCATACATATACATACATATATTCCTTTTCATATTCTTTTGTTATAGGTTACAACAAGATATTGAATATAGTCCCCTATACTATATAGTAGAAACTTGTTGTTTATCTATTTTATATATGGTTGTTAGTATCTGCAGATCTCTAACTCCCAATTTATCCCTTCCCCGCTGGTAACCATATGTTTGTTTTCTACCTCTGTGAGTCTGTTTCTGTACTAAAAGATTTTGTAATGGTACCTTTAGATTGTGGAGATTGTAAATAAATTCTATACATCTGATGATTAATAAATACATTTAAAAGAAATGAATATAAATTAAACATCTGAAGAGAACTAGTTGAGGCAGACAGCATCCAAGGAGTACAGTTTCTATTACTGAGGAAATATTCTGAGTAATAGTCATTTCATATCCCAACCATGAAACTTACATGGGAGTGGGAATGAGGTGGAGATTGGCATCTAGTAACTTAGTTCAGTCTGATTTTTAGTTTTTTAAATTAGTTCAGCCTTTTTCCTTCATGTCAGTTTGTCTGAGGAGATAGCCAAAGATTCTTTCATTCCTAATAATCTTTCCTATATCATTTTGTCTTACTTACAATACTTGAACATTTACTCCACATATATTCTGTTGATATCTTTCCAACTCAGAATATGTAGAAGGAGGTATTTTATGAAGTGTGCCTGAAATGAAGTATCTTTTCATGATGCACTTTTCTTTTGAATTGTACCTGATTTGGGGACTTTCCATTTATTATCTCACCTAATCACCCCCTAATAAAATATTGCTGCTTTGAATAAAATCAGCAGACTCTTCCCTTCTGCTTCCCATGTGTCCAAAGAGAATAGTTCATGGCTTTTTGAAGTTTCCTGAAGACTTTCAGTAAACAGTTCCATTTTTAACATTCAGATGATCAGAGTGAAATGTTTTCAGGTGTCTAGAAATGTGAAGGGATCAAAGAAACATATAGGTCAGTATCTTAAAAATCGTATTTCTTATGAAATATTTTATTTAGTGAAAGACTCCATTATTAGATCCTGTACTTTTATCAGAAAATATTCACTGCATTTTCTAATTGTTTACTTCTAGTATATACCACAAGAAAATAGACTTACTTCCCCCTTAAAGGTTGAATGCTAAAAAAATGCAATGTGATACCCCATATTAGTTGCTCAATAAACATGTGTTAACTAAATGAAGTATAAAACAAGAATAATTTGTGGATAAAAACAGTAATTATAGATAACTGCCACAGACTTTCAAAAGTATTATTTCCAGATGTGTTAAATGTTTCAAGTAGTCATTTTGAAGGCTAGCAAAAAGTAATATGAAAAGGCAAATAAAAGATTTTTTAAAATACATTTTTATTTAAATAGCAGCTCTGTAAACATTCAAAGTTACAGTTTTGTTTTAATAATTACTCATATTAGCAAGTGTTGTGTACTCATGTATAAAATCAAAAATTGTTCTTTCTTGGATTGCAAATGGGAATAAATATATAAATCACTGCTTTATTGTAAGGTAGTTTTAAGGTAATTTGATGTAGTAGTGAAAACACTTGATTAGAAGCCAATGATCCATCATATTAACCTGAATCTACCTCTATGTTCTGCCACTAACCTTAGACAAATTACTTGTCTGTGTCCCAGTTTCCTGACTTAGAAAGTGAAGATATAATAAAGACTTCTCCTGCTTCCCTCACAGAGTGTACGAGAGAATTTTTTTAAATGCAGACTGTTATAGAGATTAATTCAGTATTAAAGCAGAAAAGTCAGATAAATGTCCTTTTTATAATAGTTTCTGCATTCTACTTCATGAGAAAGAGAAATATGAAAAATAATTACATAGGACAAATGTATGCAAAATAGCAAATTCCACACTACATAAAAGGATCAATATTCAACTAGTCTTCTCTGCTTTCTGTATTTATTATAGTGTTTGATAATTAATGATTTTTATAATGAGTCTGGTGTCTTTCAAGATCCTGCAGAGCCTTCGGAGTCATTGAGGTCTGATAAAATGCTATTTTCTGTAATTTTATTCATAAGCCTGTTTTGTTATACTCTAATTCTTTGAAAATTCATGTATAGCGTTTTCTGTTAACATTCTGCTATCTGCAACATTTGATTAAGATTTCACTTCCAGATGGGATTTGTCTATAACATGCTTCATTCTGATACTTCGATTCTTGGAACTGAATTCTCCTACTGTCTATTATAACACTAACATGTCTATCTTATTTCTTCTGGTAATTATTGCTCTCTTCCAAGTATGGGACTGGTCAATGAAAGATAAGTGTCTTTATGACACTGAAGAAACTTTTCACTATGTTATATACTTCTGTATCCTCTCAACCTGTTGTAGTAATTGTGGGTCAGTGACTTTGGTCACTATTTTTGCATGTATAATTTTGTCTCCGAAATAAAGTGAGGACTCAAAATGTTGCAAGGGCTTTGCTAATCATAACGCTGAAACGGCCATACCAGGCACTTATTTATTTTAAAATTTTACAATATCATTGCATGTCCCCATCTTCATAGTTTCCGTAAGGCTATTTCTTCTTTTTTTGTTAGTAAACTTGACAATAATTCTGAAAGGGTGAAACACATGAATCTACTAAATACAGAAATGAATGCAGTGTATACTTTAGGAGAGGAGATTTTTAAACAAAGACTTATTTTTAAATTTCTGCCTGTGTTAGGTTTACTACAATGGCTACCATGGAGACACCTCTGAAACATTTTTGGTGGGCAACGTGGATGAGTGTGGTAAAAAGTTAGTGGAAGTTGCCAGGAAGTGTAGAGATGAAGCCATTGCTGCTTGCAGAGCTGGGGCTCCCTTCTCTATAATTGGAAACACAATCAGGTAAGCCTTCCACTGACAAGTAAAGGGAGGGTTAGCAAATGGTACAGAGGTTATTGGTGGCTTGGTATAAAGTTGATGACATGTTTTATGATTCAGAACCATCATTTCGGTCTGATATCAGTATGTGAACTGCCTGGCTGCAATGTTGTTCCCCGAGGTTAAAAAAAAACATTTTTAAAAAAAGTGAATTATACTAGGTCAGCAAAGAAACTTATGGAAGCAGCGAGCAATATTTATATGACTGCTTTAGGTTTAGCTTGACATGTTGGTCTGTAGTGTGCCTTTACCCAAAATCACACCAAACAGGGAAGAGTACCTAAGGAGGGGATAAGTATCCCAACTCTTGGACAGTGAGGCAGGAGGAAAGCTAGACTTTATAAAGGCATGAAGTGAAACCTATTTCTGTGATACAGAGATAAAAAAACATTAGCTCAAGCCAGGCTTACCTTTCAAATTAGTGGATTAGCAAACAGCCTGAAAGGATGATCGTTTGTTTTTTTTTTTTTTTGTCTGGTTCATTTTTCCCGTAAACCATTGTTTACCTTCCACACAGCCTTCTCTGCCTGCTTTTTGAGAGCACGTGTATTTTCCGAATTCAAGACTTTTCTTTGTAATCTGATCTCTTTTTCTCCCATGACTGTTTTGAAGTAGACATGCAGAATGTGTGTTTTCATTTAAAAGTAACATATTTTGTTAAAGATGATCACATCAGCACCTTTTAAAGTACTGTTCTCATTAATATGAACCATTGAATACTTCCCGTTTGTCTAAAGGATGGAAGGCGTAGTCACCTTGAAAAGATGCTGCCTTTTTTCCTCGTAAGCCTTCAAATACTTTAAGAAAAAAGGCAGTAAAATATCAGTTAAATGTATTTATGGCTTTAAAAATATTGTAACAGTGTCTGAATCAAACTTTAGTAAAATCTCTTTGGGTTATATGGGAGAAGCTTTTATTGAAGACTTTGAACAAAATTGTGTTTTTGACAGTTTTAAATTATAGGCTAACTAGCCTGGGAAAAAAGGATAGTGTCTCTCTGTTCTTTCATAGGAAATGTTGAATCAGACCCCTACTGGGAAAAGAAATTTAATGCATATCTCACTATCTGACTGTCCATGAATATAATAGAAATGAATTCAAAATGCAGTTTTATTTTTGCAAATGGAATGAGTCGATAGATGTACCTCATATTTTTGAACACCTAGGGTTCAACAAATTTACTGGTGGTGCTCTTGCATTTTAACAAAATTTCTTCTGCAGTAGAAGGGGGCAGAGAACACTAGATTCTTATTCAGGCATTCTATCGAGCTCTGCATTCATGGCTGTGTCTAAAGGGCATGTCAGCCTTTGATTCTCTCTGAGAGGTAATTATCCTTTTCCTGTCACGGAACAACAAATGATAGCTAACTACAGAGGCACATTTGCAGTAGTCACATTCATCAACTGCAGAAAAAAAATTCAATTTAATTGTGCAACACAGCTGCACATGGGCTTTTGAGCATTTCTGTTGTTCTCCCTGTCTCGCTATTCCTCCCTCCAGATCTATTTTTTAAACTTTTTTTTTCTGGTTATTTTTTTCCCCCTTTTTTTGTCTCTTCTTCCATTTTTACTCTCTGTACTTTCTTGTTAAAGTAATTTTCCTTTGTGGCTCTCATTCTTTTTTCCCCATTGAAGGCTATGAATGTAGAAAATTATCACAATTACTCATATAATTGAGCCTCTTTGTAGCAAGTGCAACTCCAGTAGCCTTTCTCCATCATGAAAATGGTTTCATTATAGGGTTTTTCATATTCTCTGACACCATCTACACAGAGGAACAGGCGTGCAGATGAGCTGTACTAGGAACAGGCTAGATCAGTAAGGTCACAGTAGGAATAATTAGCTCTGCTATGGAAAGAGCATCTAGGCCTTTTACTGCTACATAAATGTACTGTCCGTGGCTTTTAGTCACAAAAAAACTTACTAACAAATGGAGCTCCCGCCTACTACTTTGAAAAAAAGATTTGTATCAACACTACAATTTTCCATCATTAAGACTAATAACACGGAGCCGAGTATACATCAAGGGGAAGAAAAAGGAAAATCTCACATTCAAGTGGCGGCTGGGTGCTGACCTTTGTTCCCTTTTTTTGTGTACGACTTAACTCTTTACAAAAAAGAGCCACACGCCACACCAACACGCAGGTGAACTCCAGCTAGTACTAGCAAAGCGCAGCGTTCAGTCGGAAAATCTGATAAATCTCCATGCAGGATAATGCATTTCATTACATATTCACTACATTAATTCCAGCCACATAAAAAAAAAAGGAGAAGAAGAAGAAGAGTAAAATTGAAAGTGACATTGGATTTTAGCTATCTGGATGCAAAGGTCAGTCTTTGCAGAGTATGAATTTGCATGTACAAGCTCCTTTGAAAACCAGACCAGTCCCAACAACTGTACCCACAAAAGTATGTGAAAAATAACAGACAATGAACTTTTTCCTTTACCCTAATACATTTCATTATTTAGACGGTTTATGTCTGCCACCAGGGAGGAAGCTGGCCCCGATTCTAACAAATGTTTGTTCTGATGTGTTAAGGCAGTGTTTCTGGACATCTATTATTTCGCCTTTTCTTATTCAGGCAAAATCTCAAGGGAGTAGGTAAACAAACCATCTCCATCTTTAAGCCAAAAGGACTCAGAATCATTACCGACTGAAGGTTTACAAACCTCTTTCAAGGCAGCCTCGTTTATTTTAAGATATTCACCATCTTTTGCATAGCCTCCCTCGACTGATACACCATGAAAAGAACATTCAAGCATCTTTTATTAGTGTTATGTCACCAAAAACCTAGTGAGCTTTATAGGAAATTTTGAAATTCTCTGAAACCTAAAAGGATAGGATGATCTCTCTGAAGAAGTATTAGCAGAGTTTCATGAAAAGAGTACTTTGTGTGCCCTTTTGCTTCATGAGAGATGACTAGTGGTCCTAAGGTTACAGTGTTATTATACTCACTGTACCGCCATTTGCTTTAAAATATTTCTAAATCTGTATTTTTATAATTATCTCTAGATGATATGATCTGTGTACATGAGAATATTGTGAATGTGTAGATTCATGCATCACAAATACGTGACAGTTCAATCAAAAATAATTTAAACTTATACTTGTAAATGTCATGATGAGAGTATCAATGAATGGTTTTTAATGTTTAATTCATAAGTATATGTTTTGATATTAATTTAGAAGAATATAAAGCAGATTTTAAAAAATAATCTCTATTAGATTATGCACATTTAAACAATAAGCGGCTCAGGCAAAATAAGTCATTTTAATGTCATCTGTGATGGATTTTTCTTGACAGCTACTGTAAATTACAATTACACTGCTTCTCTCTGCACATGGAAGTAAGCATTGCAATAAATTATCTTTTATTTCAATCCATCATGTCTGCTTTTCAGAAACAGAAAACCTCAAATAAAAGTTCAACACTATTGTAAGAAAAATACAGTAATTTGTGATCCTGTTTGAAACAAAAAAAGTGTACCACTCTTTTGGAAAACAGTTGTTGGCTTTCAAAAATATTACTAATTGTACTTAAACATTCTTTGTCATTAGAGGGAATCCTTGAGTCTGTGCATTCCTGCATTCAAAGACTACTGCTTTAAATAAAAACCTTGAAAGATTAAAGTAAAATTCCTAAACTTAGAAAATCAGGTGCCATTTGAGATCTTTTCATTAGAGATGTGACTATTTGGAAATCAGTCCTATTTATAGGATTCGTGTAAAAATTATAATAAAACTATTTCCATGTGCATTTTTATTCCTTTAGAAGAGTATGTACTTAAAAATAGTACTCCTCTGCCCTTTTGGGGAATGTATTCTCAGTCATAAAGTATAGTTTAAATGTATTAAGAAAATTTATCTAGACAAAGCTTCAATTGAGGAAAACGGTTTCATGAAAGGGAATTTAAGAAAATGGTCACAAGATGAAATTCCTTAAGAGAGATTTCTCTTTCAAATATAAACTGAAACTGAAACATGAGCTAAAATAATACCGTATGATTTTAAAGTAAGTTCGTAAACTACTTTTATACACCTTCCTCCTCTCCCCTCCCATCCTCCTCAAATATTCCATTTGATTCCATTCAAATCATAAGTGTGCTCAGGCTCATCTAAGTGACGTGCTATCTTGGAGGATTTTTAGTTAGAGAAAATCAAAACAGAAGAGCTAATACCGGGAGCGTTCTCTTCAGTAGATTTCAGCAAAAAGAAGGCAGATTTTCATCTGTGAAATGTCCAGGGCAAGGGGATCCTTGTGCTCAGAAATGGGTCAGGGCCCTCGATGGTCAGAGTTGGGGAGTAACTGCACACCTCTTGGGCACCCCAACCCTTCCAGCTGTTTCCGTTTTCCCTAACACACCAGTCAAGCAAAGCACGCATGCTCCACCTGCCCGTGGCCACAGCTCGCATGTCCAGGACGCGATTTCACGTTAGAGTGGAATTTGCTTCTCCAAATCTCTTAGATTCTCTCTACGAAGTTAGATTTAAAACCCTAGAATCAGGTAGATATCTCATGCTCTCCATGTATTCCCAAACAGAGGAAATATGGTAGCTGACAGAATAGTAGAAGGGACGTGCTTTTAATTAGGAACATTAATGAGATTTTATTCCAATCAGTCTCAGGAGGTATGTGTTAAAAAGCTAACTACCAATCCAAAAGAAAAATTCCCTAAAAGCAGACACGAGTGTTTACTTAGTTCTTGGGAAATTTGTCCTGTTCTTTTCCTCTTCCCACATGACTGTGAAATCCTCTGACCTTTGCATCCATGACACATTCATTCTATGATCCTCCTATAACCAGAAGTTCCAGCAGGATCCAGGCAGTAAATTGTTGTAGAAGGCACTCAGATATCTTTAGCCACCTAGCAATTGCACAGCTTCTTTTATGAAGAGGAATGAGAGGTATAGGGGGGAGGGGAGGGGCCCCAAGTGTTTTTTTCAGAATGGGCTTTCTTCCTCTCCACTCATCGGAAATTAAAATGAAGATAGCTATTGTAACCCACATTTACGATATAGCTGTGATGCCTGCCAATCAGTCAGAGCCTTTTTTAAAAAATCTAGTTTTTTTTTAAAGAAAAGAGAATAAAAGAACAGTTTATAATAAATATTCTTAGAATTATTGAGGTTTGTTGGGACATACATAACATAATTTACTGGTTTAGGTAGAACCCATTTTTGTACCAAAAAAACTCAATCGGTGTGTCTTATTTAATAATCTCTCTTCCACCCTCCATCCACTCTCCATCCTATTTCCATTCCAAAATTGTGCAGTACAAAGAGAAACATCTTGGAAAAGTTGTTACACCTCCTATTCAAAGTACAGAGACACACAGAAATAACCATAACCATAAAGAACAACGTAAGAGATAAAAAACGTTGACTTCTCATTCCTCTCCTCAACACATGCATAGGTGACCTATTTCTGCACTGTTACATAGAAAGTAAATCTGAATGGGAAGCCACCCATCTGCTATTGATAGTGACATCCTGGTCTAAGTGAAGACATTTTACAGGTCTGGACATGAAAGTTAAAAATGTCTGGATAAAAGTATTGTCTAGATATTGACACGAATGTTCATAAAGATGCTGGCAAAACGCTTGAGTTTGTGTTAAACTAAACTGAAGGGCTGTTGGAAACTCTAGTTCAGGATGGAAGAACGTTGGTTTTGTTAAGAATGTAAACAGTGGTCCTGTATATCCCAATCCATTTTTATGAGTCGGGTTAAGGCACTTTGCCCTTCATCCCCATGAAAATACAAATTGTTAATGGTATTATGTTCTTGACTTTTTGGTGCTCCCGAAATAAATATGTTTACCTGATTTCAAAAACAACTTAACCTTATAGGTGAAGATTTTAGGGTTGGATTCTATGTGCCAGATTTTACTTATATGGAATAGATGGAACCCAAAAGATGTGCATTTTGAAGTAACTGATGAAGCGTCAAGAATTAGAAATCGTAATACTAGCTTCTCTTAAGCATCATAGTGATTTTAAAAAACATTCTGTGTGAATTTTGTTAATGGTATATGTCTTGAGTAGAAATCCCAAATAATCACAAAGTTTTAGAGTGTTTCAAGAATATTGACAAAGCAGATGTGACCGTCGGGGTGAGTGTGTCTGTTTGTAAAATATATAATGTTCTGAAATAGACCATAATAGAGGAACTAGAGAAGTAGGAAGTCACAGTTCAGATTTTTATTTTTTTTCTGTTTGGCTCCCAAATTGGTAGTGATTTGCACAGTCTTTTTGTGAAACTCCATACGAATCAGGCAGGTTTTTGTGATCTGCATTACCTGCACATGTATCTGTGTTATACTGATCTATATATGTGTGCATGCACACTCATCATCTAAAAATGGCCTTGTTTGAATGCTGTACTAAAGTAAATGAAGCAAGGGGTAGAGGGAAGGTGTAGCTCAGGGGTAGAGTGTGTGCTTAGCATGTGTGAGGTCCTGGGTTCAATTCCCAGTGCTGCCATTAAATAATAATGATAATAAAAAATAAATAAACCTAATTACCCCCCCACAAAAAAACCCAAAAACATAAAGTAAATGAAACAAACTACTGTTAGATACATACCTTTTTTCTTCATCTATCCAAAGGGAGTTGTTACAAGCAATGACAAAATTTTAAATTATTCCAGAATAATGAAAACAAATTATTACCTTCTGACTCTAAATATAACTGATTTTTTTTCTTTTTCAGATAATATTTTTAAAGTGACTTTGTTTTATCTATATATGCTTTAAAAATTACCTAATTTAATTAAATATTTTGTTCGGTCACTTTTAAAGCCACATAACTCAGCAGAATGGTCTGCAAGTCTGTCCACATTTTGTGGGGCATGGGATAGGATCTTACTTTCATGGACATCCAGAAATTTGGCATCATGGTAAGAAAGTTAGTTTGGAGCTGTTTATTGAATGTTACCAGGATAAAGTAGTTTTGCTTCTGAATCTCTTACTGCAACTTTGAATCCACATTGTCATCCTTTTGTGTGCTGTGTGTAGGTGGGAAGGTGGCAGGGTGGGGGGGGGTCCTACTTAATCATAACCAGCACATTACTGTTACTGGATTAGAGCCCAGCAGTTTCAATCCCAAAATGAGGTTTATTTTGCTTTTTGTCTTCTCCTGAAGGGTGATGGCTGGAAGGCACAAGGGATATTTGTCTAGAAAAACTTACTGAAAACAAAACACCACTGACTGCATCAATGTCCCAGCAGCGTGCACATATGACTGTTTTCTGTTTTTCTTTTTCTATCCCTTTCTCTAACCGCTGACTGTTGTGGTTAAACTTCATTACATCCTGCACAGCGTTGACAGCTGATGTATTTAGCAGCATGTACTCTTTAGTGATTTCTAGACTATACCCACCCTGTATTCCTTTCCCAGAATCTCCTGTTTTTCACTGCCTGGATTTGCACCCTACAGTGAGAAGGCAAGGGTGGGCCAGAAGGGGTAGGAGGGTTGGGGTTAGGGTAGGAAGCATTTCTATGGAGTGTCCCCTGGAGATGGGGTGGGGTGATGCGCACCTGGACAGGGACCAAAGGAAAGTTGGTCCTGGGGTCTTGACTTGTGTGCTTGGGGTGGGAGCAGCCCCTTGAGGAACTGTTAGCTGGAATCCATCCCCTGGAAGATCCCTGGAGACTCAGTAGGTCAGAACTCCCTCTAGGCCAAAGAATTCCACCTGAGGCAGCTTGTAAGAGGTCCAAGCTGGAGCAGAGAAAGGGCCTCTCAGGCATGTGCCTCATCCAGTGCCAGCACTTGGGAATATTTCAAGTCACCCCTCTTCTTGCCTCCTACTTCAACCTGCCTTCCCCTGCATCAGTCCCCAGCATGTCTCTCTCTTTGGCTTGGGGGAGGAGGGCAAGTTCCTGCACCTAGCAAAGCCAGGAGACCTCGCAGCAGGTGTCCACAGGACAGTGGAGTGAGGGGAGTCCAACAGGTATCTCAAGCACCCAGGCTGCCCGTGCTCAGCCTTAGTGCCCCCTTCATAGTGGCCTTGACCCCAAACTCAGAAAATGCAAAGGCTGAGGCCCAGGAGCTCTGTGCTTAACCATTAGGTGATAGCCACCACTCAGGATTCCAGAAACCTCCACCCATTCTTCTACCCTAAAATAAAAAATAAAATGACCACGTTTTTGAGCTGTCTGCCCCCTCTAATTCTGTTTCTTTCTGTCCTTCTCTCCATTTCCCATCCCCACTCCCCACACCTTTGTTTTGTTTTGTTTTTATTTTGTTTTACAGCGAATGACAGCGATCTACTCATGGAGGAGGGCATGGCGTTCACCATAGGTCAGTGCCCAGGCTCCTCTTCGGAGAGTAGTGGCTCCCCAGGCAGAAGCAGCAGTGCTGGCCTAGGCCAGGCAGTCCAGTGAAGGACTAATAAAGCCAATCAGCATAATGAAATAATTCAGATGCATAGTAAATCTGATTAAATAATATCCTCAAGCCCCATCTTCCTAAATCAGATACTTACCGACACATTTAGGAGACGGCAGCCGTCCAACTTCTAATTCTATTACCAGCATAATGTGGTGTTTGGCTTTTTGTTTTGTGTGTGTATGTGTGTGTGTGTGTGTTTCTTTCATTAACACCCAGTAACTAGAGGCGATTATGTCCCTTGCTCCCTGTCAGCAAGTGGCATGTGCTCCCTGGTGGCTCATTCCTGGCTGGTCATGTGATTGGTGTCACCTCCAAATTCCAATCACCTAAGACCCCAAAGGCATCATATTTCTGACTGTGGGACTTAATGGAGAAGCAATTAGAGTGAAATAAGAAAATTATTATTTGCTGATTAATGAACATTTTGAGCATGTTTTTAAAATTCAAATATTTAAAAAAAAACTGGTATTTATAAGAGGGACTGGTGTTTGGGTGGTTATTATCCACGGGGTCCTAATTAAGGCTTGATTAAAATGCCCTTTTTCCTCTAAAAAAAAATACAAACTAGGCAACTTCATACATTTTTGAATGCCGTAGCGTTTCCTCTTCCTACTGTTCAGTTTGTAGAATGCTATGTAAGCAACATCAATTATCAGCCCTTGCGAGATGACAACATGAACCCGTGGGGGGAAGCACTTGGAGGGAGGGGGGAGAACCTTCTTATTCTCTTTTTTGATAATCAGCCGAAACAATGTTTGACAAGAATCTGATTAGATCATTGCAGTAAATATTTTCCCTCTTACAGAGCCACTTATAACCGAGGGATCCCCTGAATTTAAAGTGCTGGAGGACGCATGGACTGTGGTCTCCTTGGACAATCAAAGGTCTTTGCTTTCTGCCCGGTTGCTTTTAAGTCTTATGGGAAGGGAAGGGTCGTCCGACGACGCGGGCAAACCGCTGGTCCCCGTCCCGCCGGTGCTGGCGCGCGTGCTGACCGCTGCCGTGTGTTTCAGGTCCGCCCAGTTCGAGCACACAGTTCTCATCACGTCGTGGGGCGCAGAGATTCTGACCAAACTGCCCCACGAGGCCTGAGGAGCGTCCAGAGAAGGTCGCAGAGGCCGGCACCTTTTTTTCCAAAATTGCTGAAATCCAGCTGGAGAACTTTTAGAAAAAACAGGCTAACGGCAGGTCCCTCAGTAACCTACCTAGCACCTAGTAGCGCCTTTGGAAAATGCGGTGGGGCTTGGGGACAGTTGGGAATTAAGATCTGAAGTCCGGATGTGGCCGTGCGCCTTCGGAGAGACGGATCCTGGCGCCGGGCTGGGCTCGGCTTCCCAACGCGGGAAACGCATCTTGAAAGGGAGTAGGAACGCCCTCATTTGGAAGACGAGGGATTCCTAGAAATGAATGGTTTTCTCTTTCCCTTGTCTTGACTCTGCCCGAGTAAAAGGATTTAACCTCTTAAAACCATTGTGTCTGATGCTCCTTGTCTCTGACAGTTACTAGGTGGCAAGAGTAGGTGGGTTCATTTTTGAATCTCTGAACTTTTAATGCGTGCGCAGAAATAAAACTGGAGCCTAGCTGGTAGGAAGTTTTTTAGAAGTCTCTTTTTTCCCCTCTGTGGATCCCACACTGGCCAGCCCGAAGGCCTACTGCCCCAGCCCTTCCGGTTATTTCCCCATTCATAGCTGCTTTGCAATGAAAAAATTAGCCCGCGAATGGAGAGGTTAGTTACAAACATTTCCTTGCCTCTGGACCCTGGGCCTGGCCCTTCAGCATGGGGTTATCAATCTGAAAGCATGACTTTGCTGGTCCCCTGAGGCTCCTCCTTGCTGGCCCATAACTTGCCTTGACCGGTTATCCCAAAGGTTACTTTTGAGAGACCCTCCTCCCGCACCCCAAACATAGGAAACTAGACTGTTGTCCTAGGAATTGGAGCATCGGCCCCACCCACCCGCCAGATGTAAACAGTATCTGGCCCATCTAGCCCCGAAACTGACCTCTTCCCATACTGGCCCTCTTCAGACTCGCACTCCTGAGCTGGAGACCCAGAGCACCCCTGCAAGAAGGGACACAGGAACTTTTGAGGGCAAGGGCCTAGTTAGTCGGGATTACAGCTGGTGAGTCTAACCCTGCTTCAGCCAGCCAGCAGCTCCCCTGCTTCAGAAGTAGGAAGTCCAAGGGTCCACATTGTGTGTCTCCCAAGGTTCATTCCCAACCGGAGTATCATCCCTTCCCTTGCAGACTCTCCCCAGGACCTGTTCACACGTGGGCTCAGGGATGGAAAGGGGTTTTAGCAGACCACGTAGAAAAGTAGTCTCTCCCTGATCAGGGTTTTAGGGTGTCCCACCGGTCAGTGGTTGCACTAACTCTTGTTTCTACTGGAGCGGGTTTTACAAAGCTGCCATCCGCTAAATATAGATTGGGCTCAGCTCCAGAGCACCAAGAAAATGTGGGCACCTGTCATTGCCACAACAGGTGGCTTCTGTGACAGGACTGGAGAGACAGCTAGTCTATGCGATACTCAGAGTGGTGGGAAAGGTCACAGGAAACTGAGGCTAATGAGCACACTTGGAATAGTGACTAGTTCAAGCTCTTCCCTGAACTTGGGATTCTCTTGGGAATCCTCCAACCCTTCCAGCTCCCTTTCTGTGTCTAGGTATGTAGAATTTGGACAGAGGTGACTCCAATTCTAGTGGATCTGAGAACTGGAAAAGACAAGGGAAGGGTTGAAGATTTATCAGGTCCACAGAAAAACTTACGGGGTACTGGAGAGTTGGCCAAAAAAAGGTCTAAAGACTGAGGTCTGCCCCAAAACAACACGGATTTTCTAGAGAGGAGCAAGGGCCAGATGGTGTTGGGAGAGTTTTGCCAGAGAATGACTTCACTTCTCTCGTAGATCAGTCAGATTGCAACTCTTAGCCAGTATCTTAATCTATGGATCAGTTTACTACGAGACTGCCCCAAAATAATTTCACTGGGACCACAGAATTCTACCAACCACTGGGATTACATGCTGCTTGTGCAGTAATTTTTTCCAAGGTGGAAGTATTTATGGGACAAATTTATAATCCCATTTATTAAAGTGACCAACCTAAAGTTAAATACCAAGCATATATATGTATGTATTACTAGCACCAGCCAATAGCGACTCAGTAGGAAATAAACTTGTATTAGAACAAACTCTGTTTAACATGCTTTGAGGTTGAAATTAGGAAGCAGGTTTTAAAATACTTTGTCCACCTCCCCCCCCACCGTGCCAGCTAAACTGGCCCCAAACCTCACCCCAGGCTGCAGGGATTCCAGCCACGCGTGGCTCCTGCTAACACCACCAGGCGCCCGGTCCTGTAGTGTCTCCAACAGGTTCTACTTAGCATCCGGGGCTCTCAGGATAAATGGTAGATTTTTATTTCCTCTCAGAGTTGGGACAGGCGAATATCTAAGCAAACCGGCGTTTCAGAATAGGTGTCGCCTTAGCGGTTGGGGGTGGGGGGGATCCACCCTGAGTTCTTAGAGTAAAGGTAAGATCACATATGGGGAAGCTAGTCAAGGCCGGGCATCTAGGCGCCCCAGAGCCCTGGCTCAGCCGTCCCTCCTGAGACCTGCTTCTCTGGGGCTAAGAAATTATTCCAGAGTGTAGGCACTCCCTCGCCCAGGTAGAATTCATTTTTAAAATAAGCCAGGCTCTGAAACGGTTTCCCGTGCAGGTTCTTTGTTCCCTGGAGCCAGCCCTGTCCCCTGCGCTGCGAAAGACCTGGATCCCCCTCCAGATGTGGACGGCAGAGAGCCCTGGAGACTATCGCGACCTGAGCCGCCTCTCTCCCCTTCCCCCCACCCTGCAGTTCTCTAGAATAAACTGGCCCTGGGCTGTCCAGCCGTCGGGTTTCCTCACGGGCTGTCCTGAGCACCCAGAATCGCCAGCCTTGCTTCCCTCTGCCCCAATCCCGACCCCGCGCCAGTCGCGGCGATCACTTACGTGGGCAGGGCCCGCGAGGCGCGCGTGGGAGACCAGGGGCCCAGGAGGCATCCGCTGCTGTGCAGGGTGCACCGCACCACACTCCACACCCCAAAACAGGAGCTAAGAAGGAGCAATTAAAACCTCAAGTGTAACACGGAAAACGAGAGGAGTGGAGCGGCTCCGGGAGTTGTCTGGTGGCGGTGTCATTAGCTGGTTGTTGCTACAAAGCTTCACGGTGTGGTTCGGTGATTAAGGGGCGGGGGGGGGGTGGGGAGAAAGAAAAATCTTTTTAAACGTTGGCAAACCCGTTATTGGCCTGGAGAATTTGTTGTTTTGTTTTTCTTTTTGTTCCAACCACGCTGCCTGAAATATTTTTACCCCCAACATCGCACCCTTAAACCAAAGGAGAGGAATTTCGCAGGCAGCAGCTGCTGCTACGGAAGTTAAAAAAGAGAAGCCCCTTCCACTAATATCTGTAACGACAGCACCGATGTACTTTGTTTTGAATGTTCATTTTTACTGGTGTTCCCTCTGCCAAAATGTGCTTGATTACAGAGGTCTGTCCTGTGATCATTGCGCACTCTAGACAGGGGAAGGTGCATCGGCGAAGGTTCAGCTCAGGCCAGATCAAATCCCGGGCTGTTTAAAGCTGAAAGGCTGCATGTTGCTATTAGTGTTAAATATATGGCTAATTATGCGTATGAAAATTAAACATCAGTGTTATGCTAATGGGGCGCCTTCAGCTGCGGATCCGAGCACTTGAGACTACCATTTAATCAAATGAATCAGTAACTAATACATCTGCACGTGTGAACTTTCACAAGATCATTTCCCCGTTCCCGTCACACCGTTAAATTATGAAAGAAATAATTATCAACACTTTCTAATTACCTAACAAAGTAATTTGGGATTCACCGTGGGACTGGCGGGATGGGGAACCAACAGCCCCTCGCAGCCAGCGTGGTGCGCGCCACACCTCATAGGGGTGGCTGTGCGGTTGTGGCTGCGGGGGGCTCTTGTGGGCTTTTCTGTACCTAGAGCGCCAGAAGATAGAAGGCGCCGTAGCAGCTTCTGCCTTCACCAGCTCTGCCCCCAGCCCCAGGGACGGGGCCCGCTTTGACCCCTGGAGACGAGGATCCTGGGCGACAATGAGAGACGTGTCTACACAGAGATGCGAGATGCTACCATTGGCCTGGTTTTGCCGCGAGTTTAGGTGTCCCCCAGGACTCCTACACCCGGGCTACTCTCCCCAGACCCTAGGATGCTGGAAAATGACCATGAGGCATCCTCAGCTCAAGCAGAACTGGGCCTGCCAGCTCCTAGGCTCCACTTTTCGCCGCGCCCTTGGGGCGAGTGAGCCGGGGCGCTGGGCCCCTGGGGAGTGGAGAGGGGAGGGGAAGGCGGAGGAAGGTTGGGAGGGGAAGAGGGGGGTGTGTGTTCAGGGGAGAGGGGCGGTGCGGCCGCCTTTCCTGGGAGGAGAAGCGCAGGTTCCTGGCTCTCCGCGCGCACTGCTTTAATCAGACCGGTGCAGCCTCGAGCTGGAGTGGCCAACTTGGCCTGGAGCAATGAGAGCGGGCCCCAGGGAGCGGCGGCGGCGGCGCGGCGGCCGAGTGAGTGAGTTCTCCCGAAGGGCCCCAAACCCGCCCCCAGGGATGTGGAAGAGCGGACCCAGGCCCGGGAGGCTCCGTCAGGAGAGCGCTGCGCTAGGCACAAGACTCTCGGGAGGACAGCGCTCTGTTGACCGCCTCTGGCGCCCCCTCAGTGCGCGACTCCGCGCTCTGGAAGCCGAGGCCGGGCTGCAGAGACGCCTTAGCTCAGCGCCAGACCTGGTGGCGGCGTCTAGAAGAGGTGCCCTGGTCCCCAGTGTCGGGGGCGGGAGGAGGGTGGGGACAGTAGGAGGGGGGTGCGGCGGCACTGAGACGCTGGTTGGTTTCTGGAAGTAAGGCGCGCCGGGGAGGCGGGAGGCTGAAGAGCCGCGGGCCACGAAGGTCCCGGCGCGGGAGCCGCAGCCCATTGTGCGCCCCACGCGGCGCGCTCTGTTGCAGAGGAGCCCTGGCCGGGAAGTGTGGACGCGTCTCTCCCGAGGCCGGGCCGCCTCGCCCGCTCTAGTCCAGCGGAGCCGGAGCGCCTCGGACCAATCCCCGGTGATTATGCAAGACAGCGGACCAATCAGCTCCTCCAGCTCATGAATATTTATGACCTTGGCTGAGTCAAAGCTCTGAAGCGAGTTTGGGGAGCTCGGCAGCATCATGCTTAGACTTTTCAAAGAGACAAACTCCATTTTCTTATGAATGGAAAGTGAAAACCCCTGTTCCGCTTAAATTGGGTTCCTTCCTGTCCTGAGAAACACAGAGACCCCCAAAAGGGAAGCAGAGGAGAGAGAGACCCACACCCAGACCCCGCGAGAAGAGATGACCATGACCACCATGCCAGAAAGTCTCAACAGCCCCGTGTCGGGCAAGGCGGTGTTTATGGAGTTTGGGCCGCCCAACCAGCAAATGTCTCCTTC